CCCATAATATAACTCACCACGCGAAGCTATATGAAGAAGTCGGCTTTGTTTCTTCACCAGCTGTACGCCATATTGGATTATGCAACATTCGCTGTCTCTCGTTTATGTTGCTTTTGGGGAGAATGTTTTGTCCTTCATTATGGTTCCCAAGCATAAGGCAGACTCGTAGGTACTTATGTAGGTGAGTTCTGACCTACGTCACACCGTAGGAACGGATCGCCGACGTAAGTCAAGGACCGTGTGTGTGTGTGTGTGTGTATATATATATATATATATCAGACCGTGTTTTATAAAAGTTCTTTTTGGAATAATCCCTTTTTAGTATGATATATATATATATATATATATATATATATATATATATATATATATATATATATATTTATTATATATGTGTGTGTGTGTGTGAGAATATGTTTTTTTATTATTTAAACATTATTTTTAGTGGATACTCGAATTTGAGTAGAACGCCTCGTTTTTTAAACAAATTAATTTCTAAAGAATTAATGGATATGGTCCCTGCTACGAAGGAGAGCGCAGGTTCGAATCTTGCCATTTTCTTTATAAAATTTTCTTGAATGCTCAGGCCGGTAGACGAAATAAACACTGTTTTTTTTAAAAAAAAAAAAAAAAAAAACGGGACTTTCTGCTCACATACTGGTATAAAATAGCGTTTGAAACTTTATATGTATATATAATGTAACGAGAGAAAAAGGAATTTGTATATTTATTTACAAAACACTTAAACCATTTTGTGTATGGCCCTCAAATATGTGTATATTAACTGGATCAAAGGGAATGTTTTAACTTTTTTCTGACGGTCATGTTTCTTACTGTTGGTTATTTTTTTTTCCCTCGCTTTTCTTTCCTGACTCGCCTAAAGATTCTTGTAGGTTTCTTTCTGCATCTGACATCAACAAAGTGTCATTTGTGTGATTTTATGTTAAGATTACGTCTCCCAATAATAAATCCTGGTCATTTTTCTTCTTTTTCTTAGAATTGTCTAAATAAATCCAGTGACAAAATCCATCGATCCTCCGGTCATATGGAAATCCCTTTTTGTAATAATAATTATGATTGTTATAATTTCTCTTTTATCATTCCTGTCTGGACGAGATACACACCATCCTGGGTATGACGATAAACTACATCTGGCAACAAGACATCTCATAGAGAGGTTTTGAGGAACATGGAACCACTTTTTAATTGCTGTTGTTCCCAGGTTCACCCTAAACCAGAGTGGTAGCATTTGTTAATGACCCAGCGATGGGCAAATAGTGAACCCTCCAAACTATGACTAAAACACTATGAAAATATAAAAATACATTTTAATAGTAAAAATACCAGTAATAAATTTTAATACTAAAAACAAAAAAAATTACCAAAGCTCTCAAGAAAATTAAATTTCGGCATTAAATTCCCCATGAGGTGTTGATATACCGTTAAACAAACAAATCAAGCAACCAACTAACAAGATAAACCAAAAGCAACTTTGCGGAACAATTTTGTCCGTGAAAATTCTTTCTTCTTTTTTTTTCTTTTTTTTTCTTTCTTTTTTTTTTTCATTAAATTTTATTATGACTATAATTAAATATATTTTGTTTTTCTTTAAATTTACTAAATTTTAACAAATTTCCTTCAAAGATTTTATTACTAAAGTCTCTAATAAACTTCCCCCTCCCAACAATTAATTTCTTTTTTTTTTAAGTATTTTCACTCAGGACATTCTTATCCACCCTTATTTCCCGCCTATTAATATTCCCAAGGAATTTCAATCTGGTCAGTTCTATAATGCGTCTTCGGAAATATTCTCTCGAATTTTTTTGATAAAAATTGAAATGAGTTTATTTTCTTTTTCCGAAACCTCTCGTCTTAACCTTGGTCCATGAACTCCTAGAGGGGTCATGGATGGGTTTTCGGTGATCCGTGAGGATCAGATAAAAATTAACATTTATATTCGCCATATAGCGGTTTCTCATTGAAAGAAATAAAACAAAATGCATCCTGCCCTGCTTGAAAGAAAACGCACCCAGCTACTACTTACAGTGCCGGTCGCTAGGCGTCTTAACTTGCTGTTGGATCCATGTTTACCATTTAAACGTGTGTCATCATTCTCTTCATGATCATCATCTTTTGCCACTTCATAAGAGCAAGTGATAATTCTCATTTTCTACGCTTTATCACGGCTTGATTATCTTCTCATATACTGGTGAAGATTAAATGGCCACAATTTCTTTCAAGCGTGGTTAACTGAAAAGTGATGTGTGCATAGCGGTGAAGTATGGAGAGATGCACGTACAAGTGTTGTGAATAAACAATCCGATTGCGAGTATCTGTTTATTTGTCGATGAAGGATTAGTTCTTATAGGGGTCCGTGACTCAAAAAAAAGTTAAGAAGCACTAGTCTAGAACGATCAGAGCAATGAAAGTATCGTATTTGAAGGCATGAAAGATGCTCAGGAATCTGTGGAGGCCTATGTTCGCCTACGTCCTAGAGGGATATAGAATTTTTAATAATTTAAAATTAGTAAATTGTTTCCTGTTTTAAGGAATCTTAAAGAGGAAATTGCTTAATGAAATTAGTATATTAGATAAGTATATGTACATGCATATTTGTATATCTAGGCGTGGGCGTATGTTTAATTTTGGATGCGATTCTGAAATCATCTTAACTGTAATTGGACAAAAACCAGACAAAATGTAAGGGAAAAATATTTCCTCCTCTTATTTATTTATTTTTTTATCATACCATATATTACGCCAAATAATTTTTGTCTGTCTATAACTCTTTTAGCAGAGTTATATCCCTTGCACTGGCGACACCAAGTAGCAGTGTCTTCATTATGTTAGTTATGGGTTTAATTGTAAGATGTTTACGAAGCTGTGGGTGAAAAGACCGAATCCATGGAAGAGCTGATTAGTAAATTGATAACTGGAAAATATATATTTAAACACTAATAACTTACTATTAAGTACCGTAGTTATTCGTACATAATACGCAGCTTTTTTTTTTCCAATGTTTAAACCTAAAAGTTACGTATTATGCACGAGAACTAAATATTAACCTATTTCTGGCCACGGACGTCGCCATTTTCGAAACTGTTATGACTGAATGTATGCCATATCGATAGTCGGAGCTAACTGCAGTCACTCCTCACTTAACGACTTATTTGTTTAACGACCCCTCGAACGTACTACGTCCATGACATATTGGGGGGAAACATCTTCGAGTCAAGCGTGTCTTTTGACCGCTCAGTCAGGAAAGATTTTGCAAACAAAGCAAGAAAATACACCTGGCGAAGGGTGCATTTTCTTTTATTTAAGCTCTCAAATGCCCAAGCCGTTAGGCATTAATTACCCTGCTTAAAACCCTGGATGTCTATTTAAACACGTACACCAGTAAATATAACGTTTAAAGTAATTAAATAATGCTGACTATAAATTCTTATAAGAACTAGATAAAAAGTTGAACAAATTTTAAATTTAGGTACTGTAAATTCTAAAACATTGCATATTGTACACGGCACTTCAACGTGGTGTAATGGTCAGCAATCTTGTCTCGCTAGATCAATTACGACTGAATAGTGAATTCGATCCTCACTTGGTGCTCCATACTTTTGGCCTTGTGCCACATCTACAGGATACGATGGATAAATTGTCGTCTAAATTACGCAAAAATGAAAATAACACTGACATCTCATTTTAATTTTTACCAAAATTACACAAAAATGTCTTGAAATACTAAAGAGTAAATTTATTCAATAAAATCACCATTGGCTTCAGCCATGGCCTTCAGATGACTTCGGAGTCTCCTGCAACTCTTCTGGACGGTCTTCTTGTTTAAGTTCGTGAATGCTACCATAATCCTTGCCTTCAGTTCATCTTTGGTGTTACAACTGCGCCCCACACATAATGATTAAGGGGGTTGCAGTCTGGAGAGTTAGGTGGCCAGATGGAAGGGGTGACGTGGTCGCAGAAATTGTCTGACAGCCATGACTGGGTTCTCTTGCTTATGTGGCATAGTGCAGAATCCTGTTGCTAGACATAGCGTCTACCAGCAGCCACACTTTTGACATAGGGCAGCATAACTTCCTCAAAGCACTTGATTTAGGCCTCCATGTTGTGTCTGAGGCCCTCATCAACAAATTCAAGAGTTCTTTTTTTTTTATCAAAATTGATTGAGTTTTCCGAGCTGCCGTGCCGTCGTAATCACTATTAGACTCATCCAACTCTTTTCGAATCCTCTGCACCATCCTAAGATTGACACCCACACACTCTGAAATGTTCGTATTGGAGCTTCCAGTACAGCATGCCGTTTCCAAATTTCTAACGGAGTGAACTGCGTTATGATTGTCTTTTTCTTGCAGACGGTACCCAACTGACCCTACTGTACGGTGCAGCCGGCACAAATCAAATTAAAAATATAAAATTGCAACAATTTACCCATCGCACCCTGTAAGCTACGCTTATTAAATTGCCATATTGTACACAAGATATGCATTATATCTCCAGAAATTTGTAGCCAAAATTAAGCGGCGTTTTATACACAATACTGAACAAACTGTTATCATTTTTGACGACATGGGTTAACTGATATAAGAAATATTTTCGAAGCTCATTTAAGCCTGGCACAAGGATCCAAGGGAACTGAATTAATTAACAAATGGTGTGAAACTACCTCTGATGCAGACAACCCCCCCCCCACACACACACACTTTTTCCTTATTTTTTCTCATAAAATGGGTAAAGAGATGTGGGGGTGGAGTAATGAAATCGACGAACTTAATTTCGATTGACAGTGTTTAATTTTAGTCGCACTCATTCTCTTGGAAACAGCATGAATCGATTTCAAACTGTCTCGTTACTGGCTTGCCACAGTGGTTGACGGAGAAAATAGTAAACCCACTTCGATCTTGGATTTCCCTAGCACCATTTTCTTGTTCATCGTTTGCTTCTTTCAAATTGCCTCCTCTCTTTAAAAAAACAACGTAAAATTGTAGGTTTTTTCTTCGCTTTTTTTTTTTTTTTTTTTTTTTTTTTTTTTTTTTTTTTTTTTTTTTTTTTTTTTTTTTTTTTTTTTCGTTTGCTTTTTTTTTTTTCGTTTTCTTTTTTTTCTTCGTTTTCTTTTTTTTCGTTTGCTTTTTTTTCTTCGTTTTCTTTTTCTTCGTTTGCTTTTTTCTTCGTTTGCTTTTTTTCTCTTTCTTCGTTTTCTTTTTTTTCTTTCTTCGTTTACTGCTTTCTTTTTTAATTTCTGTTCACTCTTTTTCTTTTCTTTGACATGCGAGACTTTTCTGTAATGAAAAATACATATGTACTTCTCGTCGGCACAATTTGTCAAACCAAGTTTTGTTTTCTGTTTTGTTTAAATAAAAATAAAATACAAAAACGCAGAATTCCGAATGCCAAATTACAAAACAAGTGGGTCCTACCCACTTGAAAATTTGACAGAGCAAAATTTCACCGGATCTCTTTGCCTTTGATTAATTCGTTTTCTCCAGCTTATCAACCCTTTGCCGGTTATTTTAAGCCAGAAAATATTTTTAGATTGTCAGAAAAATTTTTTTTAGATAAGGATTTATTGATACACGTATTACTAATAGTTGGGAGAGAAAAGGTGAATTCATACGTTTTCCAAGAATATTTGCGCGTGAGCGAATAATATAATGAACCCAACCGAAATTGGAACTCTGCTATCCGATTAACAATTCCGAGCTATATCCATTACACCACACGCTCACCCAAGCCTACAGCACATGGTATTCTCAAGCGGTCACCCATTTAGGTACTGACCAGGCTTGACATTGCTTAACCTCGGTGATAGCACGGGAACTGCTGTTACAGCGTGTTATGACCGTAAGCCCCATTATACCCTATTCAGTTAATCTTAGAAAATGACAGTGATTGAGTAACGCATAATGGTGCAAATCCTTATTATTCTTGTCTGCTTGATTCTCACTAGGTGGCCCAGATTTATATATTCCTTAATAGAAAACACAAGTATATTATAAAATTTACTTTTTATAATATTTACATTGTTCGGACTATTGTCTTCATTTTTGTTGCCATATTTATTACAACGTTTCGGCCGTTGTACGCTCCGGCCTTCTTTAGGTGGTTGGAATATCGCACTGAACCCTTTATTTCGCTCACTGGAGTAGACTGTTCGTTCCACGTGTCATGTTTAATGGGTGTCAGTTATCAGTTATCTCCTGTTAATTTCCCTCTGAAAGTTCTCCACTGCCTGTATTGAACTCACACTCTTTGGGTCCTGTCACTGGATCTAACTAACGCCTGTATCCACTGTGCCATGTGTCCTTGTCTGTGTATTTCTGGGTATTATAAACCTAATGTCTTCAGCATAATTTTTAGCAGTGCTCATATTGCAATTTTTGTTGTTATCGCTTTTCTCTGGCACTCCTTATTACTGGTTCCTATATTGTATTCATTTCTATGCTTGGTCGGCTTATTTTATATAGTTCTCTAAATAAGACACGAGAGCCACTCGAGGTAGAGGGATACTGTTAAAATTTTATGATGAATGGGGTGATATATGAGTGAAAGCGGTGACAGGAAGTGATGCATCATGATGATAGGATGCATCAGCATGGGAGCCTGTTCCACAAAGTAGCAGTTTTGAGTGAAAAGCTGAGCAGAACTTTGTTTAACATTTGAAATACAGGAGGAATGAAAGTGCATCGACTCCGTGGAAGTAGAATGCTGTGTCTCAACAGTTTTGTTACATTCAACGGATAAGGTTGGTCTGTTTTAATATTTTATTGTATTTTTTGTACATCCAACTCAACATGACGGATAAACTGTTCAAAGTTCATATTTTCTTTTATAACTTGACCGCCTCAAGAACTGGATGTTGCCTATATGGCAGACAAAATTTCTTTTCTATATCCAACCTATTATTACCAAAACCTCGAGACCCCTCTCCCATATATAGAACCAATATTGTTTATGAATTCTCATGTCTTTAAGAAAATATCTCCGATACTAATAATCAAAAAGCAATATAAAATTCTTCCATTGGCCATATATGCACCACACTTCCTCATACGTTAATTTATCACATATAGAAACTTAGTAAAATTTTTGAACATACCGATTATCTCTTCGTAAACAAGCAAATATAACTATTAACATAAAACTACAGTAAATAATATCGAACTATTATATCAACACTCCGGTGGAGTAATGGATTGAGGAATCGAAGAGCCGAGTTCGAATTCCAGTCGAATCCATTACGTTCACTGATGTGCTAATACCTTTGGGAAATGTATGAATCCTCTTCTTCTCCCACCAGCTATGGGTAAATAGGACAGACCGGATGACAACTGGTCTAGCGCAGAAAGAAATGGCAACCTAATGCGGGAAAAACATCTGCCTTAATCGAAATTGTTCTAGCGAGACAAGCTTGATAATCATTACACCACCTCGAGGTGCATATATATATATATATATATATATATATATATATATATAAACTAAAAAGAAAGAGCCGTCAGATTAATAATCCAGTTTTTTAGCATTTATTTAAGAAATTGCTGGATACAAAGTAGAGCATAATATTATTATTTAAAAATATGTATTCATCGTGACACAGAAATTACTATGTTTCGGAACTAAAAATTAAAAATTTTTGTTCCATTTTTAAGGGATGTTGAATTACTTCATAAAATAATGATTTACTTTTTGGGGAATGTAGTATTATATTTAAGAGTTTCGATTGGAGGGGGAATGGGATTTTAAATGGCTGCTGTCTTTTTTTTGACGAATCAGGAAACAGACTAAGATGAAAAAGTGAAAATGTAGGTCAAAGGTTTGATGTGGGGTGTGTAATTTCTACTTGCCGCTACGGGTTTTATTATATATAGTCATACACAGACTGTTTCGCTGTATCACAGCTCCTCAGTGTGGCTAGACGTCCAATTGCTTCAAGTCGGGATCGAAACCCGACTGATTTGACATCAGTCAGATATCTTACTCCTATTGCAACTAATATATTAGTTGCAAAAGTAAAGGCCCATAGACATTTCATAATGGAAATAAAATTCATTATGAAATAAAAGTTATTTGCACCAATGACTAAATTAAGTTCAATGTTTACATAAGTGTGGAAGTTGATGTATGGTTAATCAAATTTAATTTCATACTAAGTCTTGATTTTATTAGGAACTGCCTGTAGGTCTAGATTTTTATAACATCCTATGCGTGCGTACACACACACACACACACACATACATACATACATACATATATATATATATATATATATATATATATATATATATATATATATGACGCTGACGATCCGTATAGGTGAAACCTAGGTAGGTTTACCTGACTCTTTAAGTTTACATATATATATATATATATATATATATATATAATGAATGAGTTTGTAACCCTGGGTTTCACGCTTTTGTAATCGTCAGACAAACTGATTTATTTTTTAAAATGTAGATCTATTTATGTAGATTCGATTGCTACATATGTAACGATACAGTCTCTACACCCAAATAGAATGACAATCGCCTATATATGCGTGCTTGAACGCATAGATGTGCATCTGCGCCTAAAATGCATACATCTGTATGTATGTATGTATGTATGTGTGTCTATGTATGTGAGAGTGTCATCCCAAACAAACGCAGAAGAAAATGTACCCCTTCACCACACACAAATAATCAAACGCAAATAAGCATGAATAGATCCACTTTTTAAAAAATAAACCAGTTTGTCTGATGATCGCAAAAGCGTGAAACCCAGGGTTACTAACTCTAATATCCACTCAACTAAATATGTTAACTCTGTCACTGATATTGAGCGCTTTCCAATAAGCACCACACACACACACACACACACACACATATATATATATATATATATATGTGTGTGTGTAAGATGAATGTTACTTGATATTCGCTTATCCCACTACTGACCGCTGAAGCTTTTTACCCAGGTATTTACCCAATTGCGTTCAGGCTGACACACGGATATATACGTTGGTCATCAAATGAAAATATTACGTGGGAAATGCAATATTCAGATACAAAGACAACACATTTTTAAGATTTATTTTTGTGGGAAGACCAGCCTTCTTGACATCGGTGAAAATAAGATTTAATATTTGTACGCACATATGAAGATTTGGGTGCTGGCAGGAAGTCACAAGTCAGTGTGATCGAGGGTCTGAGTGTATTGGCCTTATTCAAACTGTTCAGCACGTCAGAATGTGTGCTCTCTCTCTCCTAGGTACTTTAAGGTTCGTACCTGAGCGACTGCAACATGGATTAACTCGCTAACCAGGCATACGGGCTTTCACTGATAGGAGGAGTCATTCGTTTATATATCGTGGTTTTCTAAGCGTAGGTTAGATGTAGCTCAAGGCACTGGGGCACCCAGTGAGGATCGAAATTACTATTCAGTATTAACCATTAAATCACTGGTATAAAGTCCATAGAATATGTAATCATTTTAATTTTTTAGAAAATGGAAGAGAAGGCGGAAAACGCTATCCATAAATGTGTATGGTGCATCGAAGTGAATTTTAATTAATTTTATTTTTTACGGCTTATCACCCTGTTGTAGGTTATTTTAAAGCCGAAACATTTTTGGGTTGTAATATTTTTTGGTGGAGATAGGCGGTAATAATGATTGTTTATATAGGTTCCTTTCATAAATATCTTATTTCTCAATTTTTTTTTTCATCTAATTTATATATGCAGATCAATAACTATAGAAATCTCTTTCGGTTTTTTGCTTCCCTGCCATCTACAATCTTCCAAAGTTAAAATACAACGTCAATCGTAATCTTCTGTCTTCCTGAAACTGTTCTTTTATTGTCTCACTAAAGTCTTCTCCTTCTCTTTCACTCCCAGTAACCCCTTGCATCCCTGTGACATTATCACCTTGCTTGGGGCGAAATGATTAAAATATATATTAGTAAGTGTCCTTAGTTTAAACGTGTTTAATTAAATAGAACGGACAGAGAATGTCTGTTACGCTCTTAGGTGAGTTTCTTTTGAAAGTACACGGAATATTAAACACAATTTTGGCAAATTCCTTTAGAAATTTCCACCAGTCATCGAACGATTTGTTCGATATCAGGAGAAGCTCACCTTCTCTGAGAATGATTATTCGTAATTTGGAAAGGTTGATCATTAAAATTAATAGATACAAAATGTCCGTTGTTTTAATTACATTTTGGCGCCTAAATACAGAGTACACCCGCCCCCCCCACACACACACATATATATATATATATACACACACACACACACACACACACAATGGTGCTGAAAAGTTATCGGTCCGACCTACTTCTCAAAATCTGATCAGCTGACCAGACATCAATTGTTTTGTTTTCGTTTTTTAATACTTTATTTTTAACACACCTTCGTATATCGTTGCGGGATGGAGTGCCTACAAGGATAATTCGAAAAATTATCCGCATAGAAAATGTTGTCACTTAAAGGTTCTAAAGTTTGTTGTTGCAAAAACAGTTTCGAAATGAAACTTCAAAATGGTTTCCCTCGCTCCAAAACAAAGGGGGGAAAAAATCATAAAAATATATTATTTTCTGATGGAGTGTTTCAGGAAATACCCGCCGAAACCGTGGGTAACTTGATAGATGAACTGAAAGATCTAAAGTGAGTATTATATAAAGAGTACACATAAATTGTGATTATACCACTTAATAGAACGATATAAATTTCCAACGTTTATCCTAGCAGTTATTAGATACCCGCCTTATATATATATATATATATATATATATATATATATATATATATATATATATCTGTGTTTGTAATGTATAAGATCCTTTCTGTGTTCGGGTTACGGCCAAATTACGTTGAAATATCGGTTCCCGTACGATCCTCAAAGTTAAGCAAGTCAACCTAGATGGGTAACAGCTTGAGAATACCAGGTGCGGTAAGCTTGGACGTATGGGTCGTGTAATGGATAATGACTTGTAATTGTTAATCGGAGTGCCGAGTTCTAATTCCCGTTGGGATTGTTATATTCCTTTATGTGTATATTTATATACCCTTGGGAAAGGTAGGAATCCACCTTTTCTACCCCCATCCAAGCTATCGATTAATTAGTAAGACTTGTATCACTAAGCCATTAACTGCGTCCAGGGTAAGACGATAAACTACGTCCAAAGCAAGGCCTCTGATCAGGAGGTTTTGAGGAGCGTAGAACCACCTCTTAATTGCTGGTGGTAGTACCTCTCAGGGTCCCAGCTATAGGCAAATAGTTAACCCCGAAACTGAGGTAAAATGCATTGTAAATGTATAAAAATAGGTTTTAATACTAGAAATACTTTGTAAAAAATTATTACCAGAAATAAATTTTTGAAGAAAAAAAAATATTACCATCAATACATTTTTTTAAATAATATTACCAGTAATACATTTTTTAAATAATATTACCAGTAATACATTTTTTTAAATAATATTACCAGTAATACATTTTTAAGATAATATTACCAGCCATACATTATTTAAAATAATATTACCAGCAATACATTATTTAAAATAATATTACCAGCTCTACATTTTTCAGGAAAAAAATATTACCAGAAATAGATTTTTGACAAAACAAAATATTACTAGGAAAAAAGTCGTCGGCATTAAGGTTGATATACCGTAAAACACACCAAACCAAACCATTATCTCCAAAAGAATACTTACAATCTGAAAATATTTTATGGCTTTAAATAACCTGCGAAGGGTTGATAAGCCGTAAAAAACGAATCAATCTTTTTGTTTTCATAGAAACGTTTTGTTTTTTTTATTATTATTTCTGTAGATTTCCCCAATATATCATAAGGAACAGTTGTGACAGTTTATTTCTATTGTAACACAGGGAAGATTACTGAATAGAATAATCAAACGAAGGTTGGTAATGAACGATAATATTTAGGATAAGAACAACACATATAAGATTCGCCAGCGGTGCGTAGAAGTAGTAGTCAACTGCTAGAAGTGAGTCAAGTGAAATCCACAATGAATCTTCAACTTTAAACCAATTGCAGAATATCTACCAACCGCCCCACGCGGTTAGGTGTGACACAAGACTGAATTTAATGTGGGGTATCCTAGACCGTAGGCTCGGCCAAAACTTCCGCGTAGATCCCGTATAAAACTGGGTCGGGTAGCTGTTTTCCGAGACGAGACTCTGCCCTTCGATATAGCCTCGTCTAGGGATCCTCTTTGCCCCGAGGCAGAGAGTTTGACCAGCACAGCTGGAGATGAATCTCCAACTGCAGACCAACATACAGTATTTACTACTGTATTTATGTAAATGGGGACATATCCATAATCGTCCGTAGATATGCTGCAACAATTTCATATATACTTGCTTCCAAATTATTATTGTTAAGGATATTCTTGGTTCTACTCATATCAATAATAGTTTTGGATGTTTCAATTATTTTGATGTTAAGATTGGATAAATTGATTTCAATAGTAAATGCTAAGGAGTTGGCAAGTAATATTATACGTTTGTTTTTATTGAGTTTAATAAAACGGCAATAACAATAATGTCATTATCTTTTTGTCGTTTTATAATTTGTATTCCTTTCTGTTTGTATCTATGTGGTTAGAATAATGAGAGTATTGGATGTTTTTGGAAGTGTTTTTTATGGATGTTTCTTTTCCAGGTAAATATTGTAATCTGCAGATTCTTATAATTATGTATTTCTAAGCCATCTGCTTCAAGGTTCGACGTCTTTTGCGTTCAAAGAGGTTCTCTCTGTATACCTATTTTGTAAAGAGTAGTTAATTCGGCCACTCTTGCCTTTCTAAACGAGTAGGGCTATTCTCTTCCGACCTGTTTCATCAACAGGGGATTTTCGTCCATGGAATCAACGTTCATTGTATTTTTTTTTTTTTACCATTATGGTTGTGCGGGAAAATACTGGTAGATCAACAATTTTTTACTTTCTCACACCATACTGTATTCAGGGTTTCTTAAATTACTTTTCTTTCCCATACTAATACATGAAATGAAATTCAGCAAATTTTCATGACCATGTTTAAATGCTGATATCCACTAAATTGCTGCCATGCCATTGGTTGATTATAAATATACATAAAAGACAATTTATACGTATAAAGACAATATATATATATATATATATATATATATATATATATATATATAATATATATATATATATATATATATATATATATATATATATATATATATATATATATATATATATATATATATATATACGCACTCATTTTTAGTGGATATCCGTATTTCTACTCAAATACAGGTATCCATTAAAAAAACCTTTATAAATATGTCGGATTAAAAAATAAAATCCATCAATTCTTTTAAAATTGCTTTCCTTACGGAAATGAGCAGATATGCCTTTCAAGAAATCTGAACGAGTGAGTGTGCTTTAAAGGCAAATAAAATCTTACTTGTTTGTGAAGTTTTTCGTGGCCGAGCAATTAAAGGTTTCTCCTGCAAAGAAGGACGTAGATCTGAAACCTGCCGGAGGGCACAATTCCTTTAATGTTTTCTCGATTGGTCAGGCTGGTAGACGAAATAAAACAGAGCGACTACTCAAATACGAGTATCCACTAAAAATGACGCTTGAAGTACTAAAAATATAAAATTCTTTATATCCTGGTTGTGGAATCAACATATTCTGTCCTTCACGAATAGTACTTACAGAAATAATACATTACTTTCTAAATATTTTTGAAGTTTAAAAGATAATAAGACTCCTGAGGTGAAATGGAAAATTTTAAAAACGGGAAGGACATGTAGATCTTTATATGAACCCTGTTTTCTGCGCTTATATGAAAGATTGGAAATTATCAGATTAAAATAAAAATTCCTTATTAAATCAAAGAAGTGAATTAACAGTAAATTGTAAACATATTTTGTTTTACCCCACAATTTAGTTCAACTTTAACTATAAAAAAATTTATGTAGGAAATTCACAAAGCATATAACTTGTTTAGCAATTTGTTAAATTACAATTTTATTTCTTAAGAAACTACATTGTCTGGTTTGTATAATTTATGTAACCATTTGTATCCGCTTTAGCTTATGTCTGGCTGCTGTTAGCTGTCAATCTACGAATCATGACCCATTTATAAAAAATAATTTTCAATTTTTACTTCTTCGCTTAGTTTAAATTTAACGTAGCTTATATTTGATTGGTTAATCAGAGTAAAAGCCCACAAATCTTATAACATCATTTTTTTTCTATTTTCGTAAAAGGAGGTTTTATTTTGCTTTTAAATCTAAGTAAATCATCCACTCACAGTAATTTGCAATCGACTGATGAGATGCATTGATAGTGGCGATTTTTACATGTTCAAAAGACTTTTCCTTACAACCGACGTTATTACCTGTGTTATAATTATATACACACACTAGTTTCTTTTTAGTTAGTCTCTGATTTATTACGAGCGATTTATGTTAGTTATCAGCGTGGAAAGAAAAATTGGAGAGATGAGTTCAAATTCACGTTTCGTCTGCCCTGTCCACTTTGGGAAAGGCATGAAACCATCTCTTCTCCGCCAGCTGTAGGTTAAGTAGTAGACTAGAATGGGTTCGCTTGTCTGATGGCTTACAGACCTATCAACACCGGTTCTTGTACGATCACTGTAGTTAAGCAACGTCGGGCCTGGTCAGTACCTAGACGGGTTACCACTTGGGAATAACCAGGTGCTGTAAGCTTGGATGCTCGAGGGATTTAATGGATTATGACTCTGAATTGGATAGTAGAGTTTCAATTCCAGTCGGGTTCGTTATGTTCACTTATGTGCAAATACTCTTAAGAAAGATATGAATCCACCTCTTCTCCCTCCAGCTATGGATTAATTGGTAGGATTTGTCTCAGTAAATAATTATCGCCAAAGAATTTTTTCGATCTAAAAATACTTTCTAGCTTTAAATAACCTGCAAAAAGTCGATAATCCTTAAAAAAAAAAAAAAATCAATCAAAAAATTTGTTAAGTCGCGTAACCAAATCAATCTAGCATTTGATAGCATCCAATCTAGAGCCTACTCTGAATTCAAAACTGTAAAGGCAACAGGAAACCACTCCATCATTCTAAAGTTGTCGTTATCAGTTCATAGATAATAACGAAAAAGTAATTTGTAATACTATGGTTGCCTATTTCCTGAAAGGATATTGTATTTAAAAAAAAACAAAATTCTAGAGCAGACATGAGGAAACCTTCTCTGAGAAGTGTATTACAGAAGATATGGCTCATATAGCTGGCGGCACTACTAAAAAATTCAATGTCATTTTTCATTGAAAATACCTCAGCCATTTTAAATACAGATGACCATACGCGAAAGCATCTGCCTTAGAAATAGGGAAAAGCTGATTTTTTTTCTTGCTATATCATTGATGACAATGTTATTATGGTTCAAATGGTATAATATCATTGATGACAATGTTATTAAATCACGATGCTGCATGAAAATGGCATCTAATTTATTCATTTGAGCATAAAAAAATAAAAGAAAATTATATTTCTTCTCCAGATAAAAGTGAAAATCGCCAATGCTTTAAAATGCTAGAAAATTTAGCCTCAACGAAACATTACAAAATTCAGGAAACCTTGTACTTAATCATTGATTATATATGTCGATATGCATGACATAGTGTGAACAAGTGAGAAGGAAATGAATGAAAGTTATTTTCTTCGTGAAATTAGGCGTACCATTTTGAATGTCATACTGTCTGCAGTTTGACCATGACTTTTCAATGACTTATGTCAAAGAGGGGTATCGTAAGTTTTACCAGTATAAATCTGACGAAGTTCAAATTTTAACTGAAGCTGCTTACGCTTAGTATGTATTAATGCCCCTAAGGAAGGCATGAACCCACTTGTACCTGCGCTGTGTATTCTTGCTAGATTTCTTGGCAAAATGATTCCTTATTCACATATCAAAGTGGTTAACGGAAAAGTAAGCGGCGAGCATTTAGACAAACCACTATTCCAGAACTTCTTATGCAGGCAATAACAAAAAAAAACTGTTACCACTGTTGTCAACCTTGACAGTGATCAATTTCATGAACAAGTAACAAAGTGTAACGATCAACTGGTAACTCTGTTGTAGAAATAAGAAAAAATGGCCCGTCTAGAATATATGTAGATCTACTATATCTAATATAGTGTATATATGTAATATGTGAATCAGCCCAGATGATCCCAAAATAGATTTTGCATTCCGTGTCACACCAGACCATCGGAAAAGCTAGATGCATCAGAGGGTTGACCTGAAGGTTACTTCCTAGCGGTCAGGTTCAGATCCACGTCTCACGGGGCGTCATTGGCTTCTCTCAATATGTAGATTAGTAATATACTCAACTGCGGTTAGAGGGTGCACACGTAAGACAAACCGGATAACCTGGTAGATATACAAGCACCCACCTGAGACTGAGAGTCTCTTACGTCTTCCACATTCGGCGAAAACCTCCAAGCCACACACCTATTGGCAGACAATAACGTTGCGTATGACATTTAGTTTCGTGTTCTCATTAGTCAGTACGGTGATAAGGTTACATATTCGTTTACTAATTTTAGTGCAGGAAATTAAGCAGTTATAAAAGGGACATTAGTAGAATAGACCCAAACGTTGAAAGATTTGATCTTATTCCCTATGCGCACTTATTTCCGGTAAATGTGATACAGAAACTTATTAAGAAACGGGAAAAAAATTAGGAGTTTAGCAGTTTTTATTTCTATTTAATATCAATGCTCCAGTGAACGCTGGACGATTTTCTCACAGATAAAGCGGAGACTTGAAACAACATAGATGAGAAAGATACTGAGAATACCATTGACGGAACATGTGAGCAAAGCGGATGTCTTTGATAAACACTGGAAGGAAAAGGACAATTAGAATCAGAAAGTGGTTTATTGGTTGATTTTGTATTGCTAAATCGAAATATTTGAACACGACTTCATGCTCTCAATTACAGATAAGATGTACTGTTGGTCCTTTTGTTATAAAATGTACTGTTGGTCCTTTTGTTATAAAATGTACTGTTGGTCCTTTTGTTATAAAATGTACTGTTGGTCCTTTTGTTATAAAATGTACTGTTGGTCCTTTTGTTATAAAATGTACTGTTGGTCCTTTTGTTATAAAATGTACTGCTGGTCCTTTTGTTTTAAATTTGTATTGCTAGTCATTTTACTATAAATAGGTACTGTTGGTTATTTTACTAAATATAAATGTAAATGGTAGATGATATATCTTTTGTAAATATATATATATATATATATATATATATATATATATATATATATATATATATATGTTTGTGTACATAATTACTAGATTAATTGTATGTGTGTTTTATGTTTTGTAAGGTTATATTTTGCAAAAGAAATTGTAGGATATTATATGGACTAATGTCATAAAAAGTTTATTTCATTGTTGGTTGATTGATTTTGTTTAGCGGCAGATATGGTTTATTTAATACCGTAATCTAAATATTTTGAACACAGTTTTATGGCTTCAACTAAATACATTTTGAACGAAATTGTATGCTTTTAACTAGAGATAGGATGTATTGTTGGTCATATTGCTATAAAAAAAGGGAATTGTTGGTAATTCCACTATAAACTTGTATTGTTGATCATTTTACTATAAATATGTATTATTGGTAATTTTTTTTATATAAAAATGTATTGCTGGTATTTTTACTATAAAAATGTATTTTTATACTTCCATAGTTTTGTTTTAGTTTGGAGGTTCACTATTTTCCCTTACCTGGGACCCAAATGGGTGCTACCACCCCGAGTCAGAGTGGACTTGGGAACAACAGCATTTAAATGGAGGATTTGAGGAGCGTATAACCACCTATCTCACGATCAGTCATTGCTGCCGGATGTAGTTTATCGTCATATCCAGGACTAAATAGTAGTTGAAATCTCTGCTGTGGAAAATGTCTTGGAGAATTTGACACTAACAGAACACACTGAAAGCAAGAGTAACAGAGAGAAATATCGATTTACAAAGGATACGAAGTTGTGTGGGTGAGGGGGGCATCATCTCCCATGTCCTAAAGGGACACGGCACATAAAAGACACCGGTCATTATTAAAATCAAGTAGAATACTGTGAAGGCCGCTGGCTTATGGTGAGATTTGCTATCACTTAACATTCAATGAAACTTACCAGTTATTAGTTGCGTGGAAATGAGTAGAAACGCTAATAAAGAAACAGTGATTCCAAAACTGTGCGGGGTGCCTCGGAGGTGTGGCGGAAGAGGATAACAGGTGAGGCGGAAGGATTGAAAGACAAGGGTTTATAAACAGTTTTTAAAAAATTCATATGCCAAAAATAAATATAATTTTAGAATTTAAAATATTATAGATTACTTGTAATTGCATACATGAGTCCAAGTGTTGTTATAAATAATTACTGAATAATTTTACTAGTGTGATAGTTTTCATTATATCAAGTACTAGGAATATAGTAACTAGGGTCCGCTAATTGGAGAAGAGAGTTATCAATGATTATGAAACTTGGAGGTAACAGTTTCCCCCATCACTATTTCGGCGCACTTGAAACAGTCCTGTAGAGACCAAAAAAGAAGAATCAAAACTACACATGCAACAGAATTACTTTAAGAATATCCAAAATCTCGAAGAGGGAACTGCTTTGTTGAAATGACTCTTTTCCACTTGATCATCAGTTAAAAATGTTGAGAAAATTCAGTAGAAGTCATTTTTTTAAATTATTTTTTTATTGACACGTCCCTTCATGACGTTGGCGATCATAGTTTTCTATTAATTCCATTTCTTTAAATTGCTATGATTTGATAGCGAAGAGGTCTTCCGTTGCCATCCCCAGTTTTGAATTCGGAATAGACCCTCTCCTAGACTGGCTGCCACTCAAGGCTAGAGGCTCCAGTCCACCCTGCTATTTAACTCAGCTAGCGATGGGAAAGATGGATCCAAGCCTTTTTCCAAGGACATTAGTGTGAAAGTGAACATAACAAACGAGACCTGAATTTGAACTCGGTTCGCAGATACCACATTTCAGGCCAATAACTGTTTCGCCACCGCTACATCCAATACTTCTAACAACAATAATAATAATATTTGGTTTATTTTTGTTTTCGTAGTTCGTTTAATAAATGGACCGCAACAACATTTTAACTGATCATCAAGGGAACGAATTCTTTTAACAGCTTTTGATATCAAAGACTTTATTCTCTTAAGCCACGCAAAGAGAACCTCTAACTTCCATCCAATACTCTATCTGCTCAATTGCTCCCGTATGGTAACCGTTTAAAAATTTTACCACTGGGATGCACTGGAAAAGCAGGAAGGCTGGCAGGATGGTGAAGTCGGATAAAAACAGTAAGAGACGAGGTGCGTAGGGAATAGAGGGAAGGTATGCATATTTTTTTCTTCCGCTTCGTTCTGGCATGAATACACCGTAAAATTGCATACGTCATCACTTTGTGCACGTCCACGATACTGTTACTATTGCAGATAAATTTTCCGGACAGTTATTTTTTTTTAAACATTATTTATTTTACTCTCAGACAAAACTAAGTGAAGTCTATCGGTCTCTCTCTCTCTCTCTCTCTCTCTCTATATATATATATATATATATATATATATATATATATATATATATATATAAAACAATGTTAATATAATTTTAGTATTATAACAAAAAGATACTTAATTGGAAACTTTTC